AAGTTGCTGTGAGCTGTGACACCACAACACTCTACTGAAGGTGACCAAAAAAAAAAAAAAAAGGCCCAGGGACATTGCTTGGGCTTCTCTACCTCTTCAAAGATGCCATCAGTCGCTCAGTGACAAAGGGATCCTCAGGTCTCATCTGAATTTCGGAGTCCTTGATAACATACAAGTGGGCTTCTTTTCTGTAAAGAAAAAGAATTAAGTAACCCAGCTGGCTTCAGAATCTCATAATTTTTTTTCAGACAGAGTCTCATTCACCATGGGGTAGAGTGCCCAGATGTCACACCTCACAGCAACTTCAAACTCTTGGGCTCAAGCGATTCTCTTGTCTCAGCTTCCTGAATAGCTAGGACTACAGGCTCCTACCACACAGTTAGTTTTCTAATTTTTTAGAAGAGACAAGGGTCTCGCTCTGCTCAAGCTGGTCTCACACTCATGGTCTCCGGTGATCCACCTGCCTCGGCCTCCCAGAGTACTAGGATTACAGGTATGAGCCCTTGCACTGGGCCAGAATCTCATAATATTTATGCACTTAGGGTAATCGAGCTACGAAATCTTTACAATAAAGCTTCTGTTTTCAGTCGTTTTTTTTTCTTTTTATTTCTGAGAGTAAAACTATGCTAACCTGGAATTTTTCTTCCCAACAGCAATATGGGCAGACCAGCAGGCTATCTTGGCTTTAGTAGGTGACCTGTAGTGGGAACTTGTCCCGTCATCACCATGGGCCTCTGGACCCACGTGGCTCCAACACTTTGGGGTGTTTCCTCCCTCATCACGCCTTGTACACGGGTAGGCACTTAGCAAGTGTCTCTCAGAGGAGGCAAAAGTCCCTTTCCTACTCTAAAATTCTATGATTCTAGCAATTTTTAGGGGCAGAATGCCATGTTCTCAGGATTTGGATTAGGAAAATCCTTTCTACGCCTCTCAAGAGTTTGGATGCTGTGTGGATGGGGGAGTGAGAACAGGCTGTAGTTCTGAGGTGGTGAAGGTCGGGTCTTGACAGGGACTTTAAATGTTAATCTGGACCCTGCTCACTTGACGGGCCTACAGGGGCAGCAAGCAAAGGAAGATCCCTGCCTGGAGCAGCTATGATTTTTCATTGCCTTCCTGCTTCAGGTGTTGGGAGAGAGGGCAGGTCTCTGGGTTACCTGGGACAGGTGTTGCTCCTCTCCCTTCAGAAGACAGAACTTCGGATAACAGAAGAGAAAGAGAGGAACGTTGGTGGCACCTGTGGCTCAAGGAGTAGGGCTCCGGCCCCGTATACCGGGGGTGATGGGTTTAAGCCTGGCCCTGGCCAAAACTGCCAAAAGAAAGAGAGGAACACTGCCACTTTGCCTCCAAAATGCTCTTTACAGCCTTTAGTGGTCTGCAGTGCCTAACAAAGGTCTGGTCTGAGCCAAAGTGCACTGAAGTTGCTGCTCTAATATTCATGTATATACACGAAAAATCTGGGTTTTGCGCTGGATGTTACATGGTTTAGAAAGAACTATGAATATCTACTTGATAATTTAGTACTAAATAAAGAAAACTTACACTGGCTGAGGGAAAAATAGAATCTGTAAGGGTGTTTCTTTCTTTCTTTCTTTTTTTTTTTTTTTGAGACAGAGCCTCAAACTCTTCCCCTGGGTAAAGTGCTCTGGCATCACAGCTCACAGCAACCTCCAACTCCTGGGCTCAAG